TAGACAAAACAGGAACATTGATGGTTAAATTCAACGTCTTCGTAACCGTCGACTTGCTTACCAACGGACAGCGATTTGATGAACAACATCTAAAAAAAGATAAATAAAAACACATAACAAATATTAATCTTGAACGTTAACTTTGCCTCAACACATCATTGGGGCGGAGCAGCACTTGACAGCAGATGGGAAAAAACCCGCTGTCGACGACATGACCAAAAGAACTGAAAAGGAAAAATGAATTAAGAGTCAATATTTATTTCATATTCCGCAACTAACGTTGTTAATCTTTATCTGCAATCGCCAACAACAATAATAAAAGAAAACAAGTAAATCCATAGTTTATCAAAATCCTACAAGTGGAAAGATTAAGGAAGAGCCAAGCTTTCGAAACGGGTCACCTTCTTGCTTCTTCTACAGGGGTGGGCGCGGATGTTGAGTTTTCTGTGTGTGCCACTACATGACCAAGAGTACGTCGTGCACCTGAACGGAACTATATAAACTAGTCCGGGCAATAGAAGTGACTAGGGGAAGCAGGGAGACCACTTACCTGCACGTGGCGGAACAGACATTCGTTACGGTCCGGTTCGGTGGAGTTCATTTCGAGAATAGCACTGTGGGATGTCACATTCCCAACATGTGCCACTCTGTCGCTAAACATACGAGCACCTGAACAAAGAAATTCACAAATTCACAACTTGGAGAAGAAAATGATTGGGCTAAGAAGAAAGGCTCACCTGCAAATGATGGGAGTGACTTTTCGGTGCATCCAACTAGGACAGAACCTATGTGAGCGGAATTCCCTGGAGAGTGCGAACTCATAATGAGAACAATTGTTCCACTTCAACGTCCCAACCTACGAGCTGCAATGAAAAAGTGAAAATGCTGCTCCCAACAGAAAACCACGAATAGGAACGAGAAAATGAAAAAAAATCACGAATAGGGAAGAGAAAAATGAAAACAAATCACGAACAGGAAAGAAATGATTGATTAGAGCCCTGGAAAATATTTATTTTTAGGCGTGGGATACGGTAGCGCGCAGTAGCGCGCAAGTGGTGTAATCACAACTATCAGAGGGGCCAGTGTCCGCTTTGCATAGCTCGGTATTGTGGTATGCCCGTTGTACACTCCTTATCCCTGAGACGGAGTAGGCGTGGCTTTTGAGCATGGCATAGGACGGGTTTACTCGTGGGATACTTCAATTTGAAACAACTGCTATCTTGTTCTGTGTTAGATGTAGACATGATTACGACTGCTCCAAAATGAAAATATCTCACGAAAACCTGGGCCGCCGCCATTTTAAAATCAAGTACGCAGCCACGCCTACCCGATCTCAGGGATTTCGAGTATACATGAGTGCTGTTGCTTAGCATGCAGGAAACCTTGGATCGAAAATCCCAGATCGGCTTTCACCCAGCCAACTCAACAGACTTTCCTTTTGGTCGGAAAAGTGGTACCTTGCCCACCGGTTGATCCATTCCGATTCCTGGTAGAGCCACATCACTTTCAGTTGAGGGGGTGCCATTCTACACGGAATTAGAATGGGTCCTTACAAGAGAGTGGTGAGGTGGCGTCTCAAAAAGAAATTGGTCGATGCCAGAAGCTTTATCCATCCAAAGCGCAGCATTTGCAGGGTTAATAATAGTATTGGGGCACTTCGCTTTTTGGCTACTTTATCTCGCTTGTTCACCTTAACGAACAAGCCCTTTTTCGGTAAGACCTATGAATCTTGTGAAGCTGCAAAATGGTACAAACGGCACTCATATTGGTCGGCTATGGGTTAGGCGAAGTCCATGGGGCGTAGTTTGGCTCATTGAGTCATATTGTGAGGTTCTTCAAATCACTGCAGAAGATGAAATGGTAGCAGTTTCATTACGAAACTTTTTGCAGAAACTGGTTCATTTCCGAGGCTTTCCCCTAGGCTGGGCAGGAATACTAACCCCTAGATCTCGGTGAACTCATCAATACCTTCCTACACCTAGTTCCTCCCACAATTTTCTTGCAGCCGACGAACTGCGCTGTTGGCATTCCGAGCTGCAATCATCAAGGGTTATCCATCTTACCATTAGTGACCTAGAGTTCGGGATGATCTTTATTTTACTGATCTTTGTTATTTGTTGCTGGGTTGCCAAAGTGAACACCATGACTTATAGATGAGTCGCCACTCGTACATGTTGACTCAACAATGTGATCACGATTACCACTCACATGCGGCTATCGTGGGAGTCCTACGTAACCCATTAAAGCGCCTGAAACATTCACTGCTCTTAGTCTGATACCCTAACATCACCATCAAAGAAGATATGAAAATAAAGGGAAGGGCATAATGGGCTGTTTTCAGAAATGCAACCTAACTGGCCACCCTATTCAATTTTTGCAAAAGAAAAGCAGACGGCTGCCTTTTGAAGATTTAGGGCTCTGTTGGAAAAAGGAACTTCACAAGTAGCAGGGGAAACCAATAAGAAAACTTTTCTCTATTGACTTTGAGCGGAAAACCAAGGGGAGAGCAGCAGGAGGTTAAGTGATGTGGTATACTGCGAACGCAGGCCTGTGCTAGCTAATGTATGAATGTTCTTCTAAGAGATATCGTTGAAGTAGAGCCCGTCAGCCGAAGTTATGTTATTTGTTATCACAAGAATGCTGAGTTGTGGGCAAAAGTCGTGCCCCAGGCGGGAGTCGAACCCGCACCTCACGCTTTCCGGGCGAGTGCGCTATTACGCCACCAGGGCCGCTTTTACCCTCTCAGCTTAACGGCTTTTATGCCGTAGCCTATCAGCACTCACACGTTTATTTTGGTGAGCCGGTCAGCCGTAATCGGTGGGATATCGGCATGAAACCGCGAGGCCTAAGGCTTTAGATGTTTTTGAAGCTGTTTTGTTATGATAACTGCTGTTTAACGCCGCAGTACGCGTTCCGAATGTTATCACAAGAATGCTGAGTTGTGGGCAAAAGTCGTGGGTCCACGCTTTTGCCGTGCCCGCACTCTGCCTGGGCACGATCCTGTTTGCCCACGAACTCAGCATTCTCTGTGATCAGACATTCGGAACGCGTACTGCGGCGTTAAACAGCAGTTATCATAACAAAACAGCTTCAAAAAAATATCTATTTAGTCATACGTTGTCTATTCTCGATACACCTGCAATCGGTCGTCTTATCGGGCGCGACGGTCGCACACCGACCTACTGCGCGGCGTACTTGCCGATTCTCTGTTCACATAACTCCTTTCACCTTAACCCAAAGCAGCGCTTCTCGTTGCGCCAAGGTATGGATGTTATCTAGGGGTCACGTCGAGTTCCCGAGATCTACAAATCCGAATCGCTGTAGGGTCTAACTATGGCCAGTGGCCGGTGAGAAATATGTAAATTCTCTGACTAAATATTAAAGACACTGCACGCTAAGACGAGTTTCAATGAGGCAGTTTAGGCGGTCGATCTCGCTGCGACCGGCGCTGGTGTGGGCTTCGGAAGGTAAGGCAGGGGCCGACTGTGGAGTGTTGTCCACGCCAACTGTTGAATGAAGAGGGGCGATATTTGTCATGCGTTTGATTATTTATTCATGTTTACGGTTGTTAAATCGAACTAAGTAATTGTCTTATAAAAGTTATATGCAAAATGAAAGATTTTGTGTGAGACATTTGGATTTGTTTGTAAGCTCAGTGTCTGGTGTGTTAGAGAGCGGGATTAGGTCACGCGGCGCAGTACTTTTTCTCAACCCAAGTTGCCTGAAGTGGAAACGGCTGGTGAAAACTGATTCCCTGCCGCGACGGAAGCCCGCCACCGCCCATCCCGTGTGATACGCCCCGGTGTCTGCAGCGAAAGTGACTATACTAACGTTTCGAGTGCTGGAAAAATCAAGTTCTGCGCCTTAAAAGTCTCTGAACCGCAAGTAACTTATTCGTGCGTCTCATGCTCCAACGAGGTGTCGCTAAAAATTTGTTGCGAAGCGTAAAATAGCCTCGGAGTGGAAGGACAGGGTTGTAAGATGAGTAGTACAGTTGTTCAAAGGTCAAATTGCAGCAACTGAAATTCGAGATCTTTGAAGAGAACAACGAAAGCTTCTCGCGAAAGCACTTTGCATTTGTGGAGACGGTGATAAACAATGTCCTGTTAATGTAGCCCCTCCTACAGCGGAGTCTCAAGTTTCATGTCCTCATTACATTGGGCGGTATTCCATAGATCCATTTTGAAACCTTTCTTATGGGTGAACCATTTTTCTTCGCTGTTTTCAAACAGTTGGCTCAATAGCATGGAAAGCGCAATTTTCCAGGTGATTCTTCGAAGGGCATGCCTGGGACGAGTCTTGTCCCATACATTAGACCATCCCTTCTGACAATTCCAGTAAGATTCCAGAAGCGCATCGAGATTCCAGAAGCGCATCGAGATGGGACCGGTTATCCTCTGCGAAATGAAGTCTTCTCTCAAGAGTGGAAATAGGATCTTGTTTCTCTTGGCTCAAAACTTTGAAAGCCAAAAACAGGCCTGAGTCCGTTGAATTACATGCACTTTGTCTCTCGCTGCGCCATACCTGCCCATAACCAATGTATACCGGCCTATGCATTAATTACGATAATCTTTGAACTTTTTTTCGAAAACCTGAGAAGTATTAGGAGTACGGTAACTTATCCACGGTTGACTACCTTTGAATTTTTTTTCTTGAATTTGTTATAGCACATATCAAGTCCGAAATGTTTTCCGATCCACTGAGCTGTAAAGCCTTTCGTTAAAAAATAGAATTGTAAACGCAGTTATCACAAGAATTCTTGTGTTTACTTACGGGTAAAAGTCTTTACACTAGCGGACTCAACCCTGCACCTCACGCTTTCCGTGCGAGGCGCTATCCATTATGCCGCGAAGGCCGACTATAAATTTCTATAATAAATTTTGGCGTATTTCGTTCATAAGGGGCATATGCAGATGGTGCTGACGCAAGCTCGCATATACAACCTCGAAAAGAACTGGGAAATGTAGCAATTCCGTGTGAAAGGGGGCTTAAAAAAGGGATTGCTCGTGCAGTTTCGCTGATCCAGAAGAATCCCCAGGCCTGACCAAAGTGAGCTCCCTGGTCAACATGAACGATATGAAAAATGAACTAGCGGAAGTGCAAAATGCCCCCCCCGGAAAAGAAATTCAGAAGAGCCATCAAAACAGGCCAGAAGAGCATGATAAGTTGTTGTTTGTCGTCGCATTAACCATTCTGAACACTCACAGGGATGCAGAGTCTACTTGATCCCACCCAGGAGTTGAGAGTGGACTTCACGCTTACCACTAATGTGCTAATCAGTACACCCCTAGGGTGGCATTTCACGCTGTGTGCTCAACGGAATTATGTTATGCTTATGATGCAAAGTACTAATGACCTATGTACGGCAACGAAGCCACTCATGAGGGTGAAAAGAAAACGCGGCTGCTGTGAATGTTTGACACACTAGTTCAGGTCCAGGATCAAGTTTCATATAGTGCACACTCTTTTGCTCTCGAGTCTGAATTTTTGCCACTCATGAGGGTGAAAAGAAAACGCGGCTGCTGTGAATGTTTGACACACTAGTTCAGGTCCAGGATCAAGTTTCATATAGTGCACACTCTTTTGCTCTCGAGTCTGAATTTTTGTGATAACACAAGAATTTTTCATGAATCTTGTGATATTTTTGTGATAACTGGATTCTCAAGGAGTGATGGTCCTCACCCCTTGCGATTTTTTTCTTCTTGGAGGACCGCTAGTTGTGCCCCTCTTGCTTGGCACATCCCAGAGAGCCATCCAGTAAGCAGCGCTTGTTTTCCCACAACAGGTGGTTGATGTTCTCCGACTCATGCACTCCAGCGTCA